GGCGAGGCAATTCAGCGAAATGTCCGAATTTACTCGCACTATGCATACGTTGGAATATCCGCTTTAAAACAGTTGCTAATTTTGATTGAGCAACAGACAGTCCGAATAATACGAGAAATATGACACATGTACAATGAAGTCTTTATCGTGGATAAACAAAAAAAGCAACCGGGACGACGACATCGTTTTGTATCTATAAAGACGAATTTGACCGTGAACAAATCACGTGTTTACTGCGTGATTCTATTGGTTGTCATGTCCAGGCTGGACACAAAACGTACTTTGTACCCTATTTGCCATCAACAGTACTTGAGTCAAAGACGTTACAAAGACCCACTATATGACATTTATATTTAGTGCTGGGTGAAAATTTAAGCAACAACAGAGATGCTTAGTAACATTGTGTTAAAGAGATTCACGCCCAAATACCCAGATATCGTGGGAGTGATTGATTGGACGAAGGTCATGGGAACAGTTTAGATCTAAATTCCCGAGTAGCTCGTCCAATTAGAACTTGGTACAGTTCTCGGGTGGTATGGTGTCTGGAAAATTTTCACATATGAAAACGCGACCATTTTTAATTTATGTAAAATTGTCTTGTACGCTAGAAGAGGTTATAAAATGTACTGAACATCTCCGTAATGACAAACAGTAAAATTCCTTCACACAGTCCAAGCTGTGTCTCGGGACATCGAACGAGCTGGTATGCTATCCGGACCTGTAAAGGGTATACCCTGGAGTATATGGTTAAAATGAGTGCTTTTCAGTTTAGTATAATCACAGTCCTTTTATAGTGCAAAGAGGGACTGTGGTATAATATAATTTGAAAACAGCTTGCATTACTTTTTTACTGTCATTTATTCTGCAATGATTGCTATCTCCACCCTAGAGCAAACCTTGGGGGTCAGTCGAATGCCTCCGCATATTATGCACGACTCTATACAGATCAAGGCCTGAGAGGTTCGCATAGCTCGGTGCCTACGTGTTTTTTACAATCGGGTCTTTATCTCTAGCCTCATACATCTCGTGTACAACAATAAGGACACGCCTCTGTAACTAGGAATTCCGCGGCAAACAATGGATCTAACATGGTATATGACAGATTACAAGCCCCACACTAACTCACCAACATAATGAATTGAAAATATTATTTTTCAGGCGTTGTGTGTAATCCGAATAATACGGCTGAAGGTGACTTGTTCTGACTAAATTGCCAATCCCTAAATTGTACTCCCTTCACTACGGCGTGACAACGCGTGTGTTCTTTCACCAGTTAGGGCACCCCATCCTCGCCCATTCCCTGCCATTTGAATGAACAGGCAGAGTTGTTATGCTGCTAAAAACCCGTTAGTGGATATTTTGGTTGGTTACTTCCACTTCTAGGGAACATGAACGGCGGATGATTCTTTAATCCATGTAAAAGTGGGCCAAAATTTTCGAAGAGAGAACCTTTTAATTGATATGATAAACATGTGTGTTTTGTGG